ATGGAGATCAGTGACAAGTGGCATTGCTAAGGTGTCGGTACTGGTACCGGTACTGTTTAACATCTTTGTCAGTGACATGGACAGCGGGATTGAATGCACCCTCAGCAAGTTTGCTGATGACACCAAGCTGTGTGGCGCGGTCGACACGCTGGAGGGAAGGGATGCCATCCAGAGGGACCTTGACAGGCTGGACAGGTGGCCCACTGCCAACCTCATGGAGTTCAACAAGGCCAAGTGCAAGGTCCTGCACCTGGGTTGGGGCAATCCCAAGCACAAGTACAGGTTGGGCAGAGAATGGATCGAGAGCAGCTCTGAGGAGAAGGACTTGAGGGTACTGGTGGATGAAAAGCTGAACATGAGCTGGCAGTGTGTGCTGGCAGCCCAGAAAGCCAGCTGTATCCTTGGCAGTATCCTGAGAAGCATGGCCAGCAGGTGATTCTCCCCCTCTACTCTGCTCTTGTGAGACCCCACCTGGAGTGCTGCGTCCAGCTCTGGAGCCCCCACGATCAGAATGATACCAACTGATTGAAGCAAGTCCAGAGGAGGCCACGAAGATGATCAGAGGGCTGCAGGACCTCTGCTATGGGGACAGGCTGAGAGAGTTGGGCATGTGCAGCCTGGAGAAGAGAAGGCTCCAGGGTGACCTTATTGCAGCCTTCCAGTTGCTGAAGGGGACCGACAAGGAAGTTTGAGGGGACTTTTTACCAGGTCCTGTAGTGACAGGACAAGGGGTAATGGGTTTAGATTGAAAGTGGGGAGATTTAGATTAGATATCAGGAAGAAGTTCTTCACAGAAAGGGTGGTGAGGCACTGGAACAGGTTGCCCAGAGAAGTTGTGGATGCCCCTCCCTGGAAGTGTTCAAGGCCAGGCTGGATGAGAGTTTGAGCAACATGGTTTAAGGTGTCCCTTCCCATGGCAGGGGTGTTGGAACTAGATGATCTCTAAGGTCCCTTCCAACCTAAACCATTCTGTGATTCTATGATGCAGGTGACTTTCATGAGGTTAGCAGCCAGAAATTTTAACATTAAACTGTTAAGGAGAGCATTAAAATATGATTCCTTTCAGTAAATACTAATAGTACACAAACCTTATGATAGCTCCAAGGCGTAGGTCAAAGTTTTTCTGCACGATCTCAAGCAGTTCTTCTTCAGATCTGTCTGATGTTCCATAATGAAACACTGAGATCGCAAGAGGATGACTCAGACCAATAGCATATGATAGCTGTAGAACACATGCATAGAACACGAGCACAGTTAAAACAGTCCTTCCTACTTTTTGCTTAAGAGGAAGGAAAAGTTTATCTTACATACTGAGGGAAGATTAACCACACCTTTTCTGCATAAAGAAAGCGAGGAGATATCATTTTGCTATTTGTCTTTTATGTTAGAAAATTATCTTGTTTTCCTCACAGAACGCTCAGCATGGTCAAATGTCTGAACTAAGTGACAATCCTTAAAAGCAAAAGCCGTACTTTACAGACATCCTCAGATACTGATATTCTGCATCCTTCAGCTTAGCTAGACACAGGGATTTCATGCCTTTGACACTGGAGACTAGGAGATCTACAGATATTTCTGGTTTGGTTTGGTTAGGTTTGGTTTGCTTTCTTAGGCAGAGTTTCGTAGGCATCATGTCCTATTAGCTGGGACATGATGACAAAAAGGTCCATGTTCTTAAAGCACTCTGACTTGTTTTTCCAGAGTGAGTTATTTCCATACGCTCCCTGGAACTTTATCTAGTATTTTCACATCCTTTTTAAAACACTGCTCTCAGAAGTAAACAAAGTAATCCAGGAAGTGTTCCCTGTAATTTCATGCAGTTCACAAGAGGACGGAGGGGCTCTATAACTCCTCTCTGACATCCAAGAATCACATTAGCTGCTTTTCACCACAACACTGCACAGCACTGGCAGGTTCTTCTGAAATGTATTTGGTTTTACCAATCATTCCCTTTTCAAAATACAGTCCTACTGCACTACTGGCTAACATACACTTAATTTTCTTCCATTGTGGTGTATTTGGATGAAAATAGATTTTGCTTGAATGTCACTAAGCAATGCAAACCTTTCTGTGACTTCCAGTGGTCTTCCTCATTGTGTCTGCTTTCTACAGGTTTCAAGAAGTAATAGCCCAATGGCTCAGTTCTCTCTATATACTTCTTAGTAACCAAGAACTGATTTTTGTTAGAAATTGCCCTAATCAAGGCTATCTTTGCCTTAGCTAATTTAGAGATCTTGCTGATTCTGTTTTTCATTAACCAATGAGCCAACGATTTTACATCATCCTAAGTAAAGCCTACATGAAATTTGTGAGATTATACAACTAATTAGCCTGCAGTTCCCTCCATCATCCATTTTGCCCTTTCAGTATGAAAAGGTGATTAGCATGGGAACAATCCATAGCAGAGCCAGCTCAATTGTCAGTCTCGGTGGAGGCTGTCAAGGTCTTATTGTAGCACACAGACACTAATGGGCTGAAAACACATTTGCATTTGCACTTGATTAATTTTTCCTTCTGTTAATCTTTAATCCAGCCTTCTGTGCCTTCACAGGACATTTGCTTTTCTGCTCTCCCATCCTCCTATCTCCTCCCATCTTACATTTATTGCTAATATCTGACATCTCCATAGTTTGCTGTTAACAAATTCAATCTTGCCTTGTCTAGAGTCAGGCTCAGGTGGGTCCCTGGGAATTACTGGAATAACAACATTGCCACATAACTCAAGAATTAAGACAGTGAGTATGTGTTCAAAAATACCACTCAAAATATGCATACAAAGAAATCAGAAGTTTGCCTTCTACCCCCTTGGGAAAAAAAAAAAAAATAAACAATTTGCTAGCCATCGCTATTTGTGTTTGGCTTATTCCAAATTTCCCTTTCCCTTGACTAACTCCAAACTTTAAGTTTAATCTGGTATCAAACACACGAACATCTAAAGCAAGGGACCTTGCTCCTAATTGGGTGTCTGAATACTATGTCATGGATTATCACCACATCCAGTGAGCCTCTCCTCTAGTCCACAGAGCAAGTATAAGGTTTTAAACACACTTCTCCAGCAAAACATTAGACAGATCATTGCTACTTTCTACTGTAGTAATCTGTTGTACTGGGTTAAAGTTATTACATTGCAGCTACTCAGAATAAGTATGTGTTGCAAACTGCCTATACAAACCTCAACTGTTTAGTATTAGTATTCACACTGGGTTCATGTATAATGGTGAAATTGTCTAGGGGTCAAAAAGAACCTCTTTCAACTTCTCAGACCTAGTAGTCCCAAAAATTCATGAACAAGGAAAGAAGTACATTTGTTCTGAGCATGTAAGACTGATGAAAGTCGTTCTTGTTTTAAACTCTTAAAAACAATTGAATTTTCCTTTTAGCCACACCTCATACCACAGTAGTGTACTAGGAACACACAGTGGAGAACCCATGGTAACTTCTAGTTAATTTCAAATACAGCTTTAAATAGTTTAAGTTACAACTAATATGCCTATGTAGTACAGCAGGTTGCACAACTATGACTAGACACTGCTAACGTAACTGCAATGTGCTGTGCAGCTCAGGTTGGAGTGCTGGGCATGCATGTGTGTGGAGAGGATCACTAGAGTTGCTGAAAGCTGAAGCCAGGATGATGCAAAGAAGTACCTAGACCAGGGATGGTGACAACAGTTGAAGAAAGAATACTACTGAGAATACACCCCTTATTTTAGGATCGTCCTGGCCTGTGTCTTTGATTTCCCTCACAGGGCTCCTTACTAATGCACCCCCCAGAGGAATTTCCTGGAGCCCCTTTCTAATATGAGAAATGCTTTTCTGGTAGTTTAGGAAAGCCATAATGGTAGTATGTATTCTGGGTGGGTGACCACACATGAGACAGAATTTCTGTATTACTTTCATGGTTGCTTTTACCTGGATTAGTACTCTTTTACACAGTCCAGCTTTCACCAGAGATTTTGCAATCCAGCGAGCTGCATATGCTGCAGAGCGATCAACTTTGGAGGGATCTTTTCCAGAGAATGCACCTCCACCATGGGCTCCCCAGCCTCCGTAGGTATCAACAATGATCTTCCTGCCAGTCAGTCCAGCATCACTCTGCAGGACAAACAATTGAGTACATTCATGAGACACAACACTTTACCCAATCCCATACTAGGTTATTGGGTACAGCTTTGTTTTGTATTTGCCACAGATATGACTCATTTTTCACCATGTTCGCCTTCACATGCAACTGTTTAATGAATGAGGTCTACGTGACTGGAGTATTTTTCAGAGATACACTAAGCAGTCTGTGCTGCACTGCGTTTTGAAGACCAGTAAGAATGTGGCACAACTGTAAACGTCACAAAAAGTGTGCTCCCTTCTATTTAGCAATCATAAAATACTACCTCTCAATTATTGGCCAGTGGCTTGACTCAGTAACACGTGATGGAGGTCAAGAATTTAGAGGCACAAGCCTTCCTGAAAAACAGATTATATATGACCTAGAAGGTTGATAAACTCACTTAGAAACACATACTAAAGGGGACTTCATAGAACTGCAGCTCAGTGCTGCCAGCACGAGAGTATTAAGAAATTCTGGCTGAGTTCACCTTAATGGTTCACTAATGGCACAAGTACTACTTCTTTATACTTCCTGCCTGCCTGTGCCCCCGATAATGGAGTCCCACCCTCTTGCATGGACTTTTGCCTGCCTCCTACAACTTGATGAGCTGATCCAACTTGTTCAAACAGCAGACGTACTGACTTTCTGTCAGATTAGCAAAACTTGTGACTGCAAGCTGATAAATGAACTCCAGAGAAACTGCATTGTGAAAGAGGAGAAACTGCATTAATGCACTAATTTTAAATCCCCAGATAAGTAATATGGCAGTAAAGCTGCCATATTTATGCCTCCATGAAAGCAGTATCCCTATATCATGCCAGTGTGATCATAAGCACACCTTGTATTTTTAATGCTTCACTGAACTCTTTATACAAAACTAGATCCTTTTGTGTAACAATACTTCCAATAATGTAACCACAATGACCTGCTTACCTAGTACCAGCACCTGGAATGCAGAACACATGTCAAATGCTATTGACTATTGAGACTTAATATGTTAAGGTCTACCTTGAAATTTGGTCAGCTTTCTGAATAACTTTGATGCAGAAGATCAGATTTGTTGTTATTTCTGGTTTTGATTTTTACTGTGAAAGTGAAGAGAGACTTCCAGTCAGGTATTTTAGCATAAAACTTAAGGGCTGGCTTTTGGTCATTTAAAATACTCCTGAAAGCAAGACAAAGATCCAAGAATCTGTGTATTTGGCTGTCCTAGCAGGTACAGCTTGAGTTTAAATGCCAGCTGTCCAGTAGGAAAACTCCAGTAGAAATGACTGAAGCTTCCGTAAAAATATATTTACTTTCTTGGTTAAAGGTATAGCAGTTCACTGCACTTTTGCTCAAGAGAACATTTAGAAGTATGTATCAAGGCAGAATCCAAGTCTGTATAGGCTGTCCCCTTTCAAAGTACCACACCTTAGGACCACCTTCTACAAACTTTTCACTTGGAAGGAGATGATAAATTGTGTCATCATCAAGATACTTCTCTGGAATGACTTTTTTAACAACTTTCTCCATTAATTCCTTCTGTATTTGTTGAAGAGTTATGTCCGGGGCATGGTGTACTGAAATCACAAGTGTGTGCACTCGGATGGGCTCCACGGCACCGTTATTCTCCTTGTATTCCATTGTGACCTAGAGAAGAAAAAAAGGATAGTGAATACTCAAGGCCAAGAGCATCAGTTTGAAAACTGAAAATGAGCCTCAGGTATATTCTGCAGTAAAAAATAAACAGATGAAGGGAAATCAGATGAAAAATGATGGATTGTTACCATGGCTTAAAATTAATGTAAGAAAAAAAAAATAGAGAAAATACTGAAGTACCACTACTGAAAGAGTTAACCAAATAATATTACATGCATTGCCCCAAAGAAGCAAATTAATAACAAGAAAGCCACAGAAGCCTAAGATTTTACTGGCAGTTGCCAAAATCATTCATGGTTTCACAAGTAAACATAACTTCTAATAGTGAATCACCAAAGTAAAGCCAAAACAACTTTTGGAAGACCCTACTATAATGAGCAACAGTGGCTCATGGTATGATGGGCTGTATAGTTTTCTACCTATTGCGTGACTTCTGTGTACATACAAATACATATTGGCTTTTCTTCATCCTTAATATGGGTTTTCTTACAGACTAAGAAGGCCTTTCTACTTTCACACCCTTCAAAAATGCTTGGATAGATTAGTCATAAAGAAATCAGTCTGTTTACATGTTCTATGCACTGCTGACAAAAGGCAGGGATGCAATTCATGTTGCACTGCAACATCAGCAGTGTAACTCAATGCAGTTCAACCTGATTAAGCAACAGAAATTAAGACTAAAACAAATTGCTGTCTTGGAGATGCCATATGTATGGCTTTCCTTTCTTCTGCAGATTTCACAGCATGGAAGACAGAGAACTTACTGCCTTTGAGACTACCTAAGTACATCAGTCTAACAGTAGGTTCAGTGACTCATCCACTCAACTCTGCAACACAGCTGTCAGTGGCTTTGACCACTGATCACATATAGTATTGTCATGGTTTAACCTCAGTTAGCAAACAAGTACAACACAGCCACTCACTCACCTCCCTGCCTCCTCCAGTGGAGGAAGAAAATTGGTGTAAAAGGCAAGGAAGCTCATGGATTAAAATAGGAACTATTTAGTAATTGAATATAAATGAATATTATAGTGATACTAATAATATTAACAACACTACTAATAACATTTAATGAAATAAAACATATGAGACAATTGCTCACCACTGGCAGACTGATACCCAGGCAGGTCCTGAGCAGCAAAAGCCAGGGGGCATTGGCAGCAGAGTCTGAGCAAGCCTCACAAGCAACAGCACAACAGGGAAAGCCAATTGACCCACCAACAAACTACTGAATGAACAAACAAGTTAGGAAATGAGCTAATGAACAAGTGAGCAAGTAAGCTACCTATAGCCTCTTGGCCCACCCCGGCCTATATACTGAGCAAGACATGCTATGGAATGAAGTACTCCTGTGGTTAGTTTGGGTTAGCTGTCTGAGCTGTGTCCCAACACACTGCTTAGAATGAGAAAGCTGGGAACACAGGCAGAGTATCAGAAGCTGAAAAAGTCCCTGAATTGGTGCAAGCACTCCTTAGCGCCACTGAAAAAACACCTTATCCATACTATTCTCAGGGCAAATCCAAAACACAGCCTCATATCAGCCACTGTGAAGAAAATTAACTCTGTCCTGACTCAAACCAGCACAAGTATATGTGAGGTTTGAGTCAAGAACAGCTCTGTTTAACTGAGAAACCATAGCATTATCCCAGTCCATGCCTCTTGAATACTGATATTTATTCAGAAAAAAAACCCCTGATTTGTTTATCTTAATCTCCAGGGGAAAAGAAGCAAAATACAAGTGTTATTTTGAAGAGACCTGCCAAACTGATAAAATAGTTTAAACAATAACTAATAAACCAGTTTAAACAAAGCATGTGTGCTACATACAAAGGTACTTTATGAAACTCTCACCATCTTGGAAGATGAAAATCATAGCACCATTTCTGACAAAAAAGAATTCTGATTTAGTAGCAGACCAGGTAAAGTATTTCTATTGTTTCTCACCCTTACAGTTTATGCATCTATGTTACAAACCTGTGTTTTCCCATCTGGTCTAACCCAGGGCCATGTTCCATTTCGTTCCAGAGCCCTTATGCTTGCAGTCAGTTTATGTGCCAGGAGGATTGTTAAGGGCATACATTCTTCAGTTTCATCAGTGGCATAGCCAAACATCAAACCCTGCATTGAAAGACAGGGAACTGCATTCAAAAATGGGGAAATAAGCCACTTGTTTCCATGTTTTCTTTCCATTTCTACACCTATCTTTGCCATATAGTACTTTAAAACAACTCAAGCCTAGAAAGAGGCAGCAGTAATTATGCGGAGTGAATACACTTTGACATATAACCAGCCTGAAATAACTCTTTGTGTACCTGCATGCACAAGAATCAGAGTCACAGCAGGGTCTGGTTCCCAAGAATGACTCTGCCTTAAGCATCCATGAGAATCCACTCTAAAAAGCATAATAAACAAAAAGCTCATAAAGACTGTTCAATCTTCTCCCCACACATGACAACTAAAATAACAAAGCATCTGATGCCTAAGAAGTAAAACCAAGCTACTCAAAGGACTTGAAAGATGAGAAACTGACATCATCTGATAAAAAGCTTCAATGTGGTTCTATCCAGTAAGGCCACTGGACATGGGAAAAGCCACTTTCACTGAAACTAGTGAAGGCTGTGTTACTTTTTTACAACTCTGGTGTTTAGGAGAGTGCACTGTGTTTAGCTGCTAATTCTTACACTTTGCACAATAACTTTTAAGGAAATACTCTGGTCCAATGCAATTCTAACTGCTTGTTCATAACCTAAATTTGAGTAAGTGCCTGGAATTAAGTCCCATTACCTGATCCCCTGCTCCAATGTCATCGTCATTCTTGCCATGGGAGACAGCATGCTTGATCTCTTTACACTGTTGTTCTAAGGCCACTAAAACTGTGCAAGTTTTATAGTCCAGTCCTAGAGAAAGAGTTTTGTAATGTTAGATCATACATTCTTGAGAATTCACAAATTGCGAGAGAAGTTTTTAGGGATTATCAAGATATCTTGGCTAAAACTTTTAAAACTCTAAGCATGTAAGCTTCCTATACTATGTTTTGTATTGCTGATAGAAGCAGTCAATCAGCACATTTATATAACGGTCTCAGGATGTAGGCAAGTTAGTAGTATTAGTTCAAACTTGAGCTGTTGAAGCTGAGAGGGTAAGTGTAATCCTAGAAGCTGTCCCACCAAAGCTGGTTACACTGCTTATGATGACTAGGGTTTAAACCATTTAGCTATTGAAGCTGGCAGAAGGGTGTGGAAAATTTTACCAGAAACTTGTATTCAATTTTTCTTGTAGTAGGTTCTAGGGTTCAATAGAGTTAGAGAAAAGCTGTAACTATCACTCATGAAAAGGGAAGACTGAAGGGGAATAGCCGTGTAAGCGGTTCAACTGCTGAAAGAAAGCTACTTTGGGAAATACATTAAGAATACACAAAGAATTCCTGTGGGTGTGCACTTCAAGTGTCACAGGCTTATGCACCCCAAGGACATAAAAGCTTTCACTGTACAAAGCAGCAGATGTAACCATCTTCTGACTTTTGTGCAAACACTACTTCTGCAGCAGAGAAGCAAAAGGTACCTGGCCCTTTTAAGAATAAGTCTTTAAATGTATGCCACCTTAAAATAGCTCCTTCAGCACCAGGCACTGAAAAATGCATAACAACTTCTGTTCAGTGTTCTCCTAGGCCTGGAAATACATTTCTTTTTATTTTCCAGAAGATCATACTAATGTTACTTTGGCCAGATGCAGAACAGACCCAAGAATGAACACATGAAGGAACGAACTCACCTTTGGAAGAGTCATCATAACCTATCCTCTTAAGAGTGTCTCTTACAGTTTGTTGGTAATCTACTATAGCCTGGGATGTGATCTCTCCACAAAGCAAAATCATGCCAGTTTTTGCTACACACTCTGCAGAAAGAAGATGAAACATCAGAATTTTACTGATACTACTTACATAGGGAGATCCTGACTATGGTTCTATGAACCAAGGATTAGTCATAAGAGAAACTCAGTGTGAAGCCTGAGGTCTTTACATATAAGTCTCTGTGCAAGCACTCTTCAGATGACATGAACATGAAAATGCCTGCATGGGAGGGGGTCCTTCTTACCCGATCATCTTATCTCTGCAGTGGCCAGCAGCAAACATCTATAAGAACAGGTCAACTATAGAGTGCTACTTCTCCAAGTACTTCCCTGGTCTCTATCAATTTCAGCTCAGGGTCCTCTGGAAGCTAAAGGGACATCATTTGTTCACAGATGGCACTGCCAGCCTTTGAGAGATTTTTGCTAGAGTAATTCACCTGTTTGCCCTTGGCAACCACAAAAACTTTTATCATCTACACAATCCTGGAGCAAGAAGCCATGCAACTTCCTCACAAAATTTGTGCAGAATAATTTCATGTTTTATTTTGTTACTTGTTTCAAGGGTCCACCTGGCCTCCAAACATTTCCATTTTATGATAAAACATGTAGAAAACAATCACAAAAAATTCACCATCTCAATACAACATACAACTGTATAGCTCTATTTCATATCCCATTCAATCCTCTATTCCAGACTGGGAAAGCCTAGGATATTCACTAAATGACACTGTATGGCTATGATCGTATTTGTTACCCTTGTCATAAAATCTTACTATAGGCTTTTTTGGGATGGGGAAAGAGAAACAGATTGCACACAGCATTTAGGACAGGCAGACATGGATTTATATGACTTCAGGATGTTCTCAGTTCTACCCTTCCTGCCTTTCCCAGCAAGAGCTAGCAGTCAGCTTGGGTTTTTACTGATAATGAGCACTGGCTCTTCACAGAAACATGCCTATTACAACCCCAAAATCTCTTTTCTAAATGCTTGCAGTGAACCAAAAAACTCATTTTCTGTATATAGAGATAAGATTGCTCCCTTCCACCTTGCGTTAGCCTACACTGAATTTCATACATCATTTCCATCATTCAGTCATGACCTCATTTGAGTAATTTAATTCTATTTCAAGATTAAGTATAACAGGCAGGAATATGCTATAAAATTGCACAACTATGGACTGCAGCATCACGTAAAGATAATCAAGCTAGTTTTAATTGGCAGCTTAGCTTAGATAACCCATACAAGCAGTTGAGAATTTAGCACAGGGCAAGCTTTCTCTGTTTGTCTTCAAGAGACTTCAGTGTCTATCAGTCTTTATTGAACTATTAAGCCTCATCCTGGCTGGCGTGGTATCTCTCACAGTGGGAGTCCATAGGAATACAGTAGTTCTAAGTGTATAGAATCATGGAATGGTTTG